GCACAGATATTTCTATACGCTTGCACATCTTCTCAAACCTTTATCAATAATACAACTTTATGTCGAAAAACAGGTTTTAAATCTAAAGCTCGCTGCAAAAGAGCCCGGTCAGGGGAACGGGAATCTGAATAGTAAAGGTGGGAGAGACTAAGAAACAACTGTTTATCGATTGTTTGCCGAGTCCCTCCCATCTTTACCGTTTATGTTCCCGTTCCCCTTCACTTTACCGGGATGTTGTGCAGATGAAAGCACAATCTACTGTAACAAAAGTTACTTCTTTAAAAAATCGAACTGTATGTAATGTGCCTGAGCCGGGCATAAGGGCTTCCCGCAATGTGGCAGGGAAGTTGCCACAATAATATTTGTAACTTCATATATAGTAAATTTAAAAGGAAACGACGTACACGTCACCGATGACGTAATAATTTTGCGCACTTGTACCAATACTAAATGTATAAAACAAAGTCGGTAATTGAATAGTTTAATGCATTTTAACCAAATTAAGTTGGCAGCAATTGCAATGTTGTCATGTTTAGATTAAAATTTTGCTTAAGGCATTTTTTCGCGTAAATACTATGAAATACTATGGTTATTAAACTTAACCTTTGGTTAATAGTTAATGTATTTTCGCGTTTAGAGTGCGTTCCAAAATCTTAACTATGACGTCACATTTACTAGACCATAAAACTACCTCAATCTGGTTAATAGTCTATCTCTTTCTAATGCGTATATTTCTTTATTTTAATCTGTCAAAAATGTTGTTTTAATGTCAAAAAATATTTAAACAGGTGACCACACTTTTTTTATATTAGGCGTGATTGGCTACAAGTGTCATGGATTTTAATCAGAATTTCCAAGGTGGAAATTCTAGGTTATAAAGTTTATAAACATCAAAAGTGACATTTAAAATGACAATCAATAACCGTGGTTAAACAAATTAACCGTGACGTCATAACTTTTTTAACTATAGTATTTCGTGGTAATTACGCGAAAAAACGAAATTGACGTTTTAGAATTTCGAAGCTGTCAGTTGTGTTTTTGAATATTTCGTTTAATTTGTGTAGGTTTCTGTATAATTGTGGCAACTTGTGTGTGCATAAAGCTGAATTATGGCTACATCCAAAATTGTGACACCATACACGAGGTGCCACAATTTATTTCCTCAATTCTGGCTTCCTCCGGTCATATATTATACTAATATTTTGCCAGGTCATTTGGTTTTGATATACGTCGGCATTAGCCTATCTTCTGTTGACGTTTGTGCAAAATAATATAAATTATTCAAATAAATATATAAATATGTGTATGTTGCCACAATTTGGTATATATAAGTACGTTTAATTTCTAATAGTTGTGGCACTTACACATCACATAGTAATGTGGCGCCCCCTTTCGTGAAAATATTATTGAAGGCGTTGTTGTCAGATTTACGGCAGCTTAACTTATATTCTTTATTAACTGGTGGATTTGCTTTGCGCGCACATCCAGACAAGCATTGTAATACTTGTGGCAACCTACCTATAAATATACAAATACCTATAGAAATAATATTTGTGATCCATTTAAATAGTTGATAATAACATGATCCTTTATTTTCCTAAATAAAATAATAGTTGTTATAGTATCAAACATTCCATGTAAATAATATAAACAAAAATACATAGGCACTAATTTTACTCTTATTGCACATTTGCTTCGATATCCATCTTTGTAAGTTTTTATTATCTATAAATATCAATATTTTTTTAATAGAAGACCATGGAATTAAACTTAATTTAACTTTAAATTATTAACAATATTTCCTTATTTTATTTTACTTTAAAATAAAAATAAAAATTAAATTAAAACTTTTCTCTTGGACCAACTATCAATTTTTCTATTTTATGTTATTTTAAGTTTTAATAGTCTTATATTATATTTTTAGCAAAACTTTTTATAAGGAGTAACATTTCTTTGTAAAATTAACAATAAAAAAGTTTTTTCTTGGGCCATTTTTAAATTATACTACTTTATGACCACCGTACATACTATTTTAAATTTTAATAGTTTAATAATATTTTTTTAGAATCGAGCACTTTAAAATTTTAAAACCGTTAAGATTTTTAATTTAAATAGTTTTCTTAACGTAAAAATGTTTATAGTATAATAAATAAATTATTAACTATTAATAATAAAATATAATATTAGTGCATTTTATTAGTACACTATTTTGGATAGCTCCCAAGCAGCATTTACCAAAGTGGTGATAACTTTAAATAAGTTAAGTATACTAAACAGCTACTTTAATTTTTACTTAAAAGTAATTCTAACTTTTAAATAGCAATATTTTTTATAACATAGACTTCATTCTTTCCTTAAATGGTTACTATAAAGTAATAAACATTTAAGTAAACCTTGGTTGCCCCCAAGAAGACTTTGCAACTTTAAAAAAGGTGTTATAAGTAAAAAAAACTTTCAAGTAAATTTAATTTGTAGCAGTTACTTTCGGTTGCTACCTAAAGATTACATTATAATTATTTTTACTTTGTAGTCCCTTTGCAAGTTAAAATCTTGAAACTGGAACATAAGTTAAAAACTACAAAGTTAATAACTTAAAAGTTATTATTTTAGTATTTGGAACGTTTATGGTACTAACCAAAACTACCGTAAAGTAAATTAAGGTGGAAAAAACTTTAAAGTTGCAAAAACTACTTCAAAGGAAAATGCTTTTTATCGGCCATTTTTTACTGTACAGTACCATGTGGTAATGTAAATAATAAATTATTTTAATTGTTTGTAAATTATTGTTTACTTTTTAAAAAATGGTAATTTTGTTGGTAATATACGGTATTAATAATTAAATAAAAAATTAATAATAAATATTAAGATTTCTTTATTTATAAACATTATTAAATAAATAATTTGTTTATATTGATGAAGCGCATTTATTTTACAAAAACTAAATTCATAAGTTTAACAGTAAAATTTAAAAGGTTTATAAATTTACCTTCCCAATTAAACAATATATTGTTATTCTGGTAGTTATAAACTACCAGTACATATTTAATAAACGACATTGAAAAGCCAAGTCCGTAGTGGTTCCATTTAAAAAAGGAGGGATAGTATAATCTAATATAAGTTTGACAAAGACAGTTAATATAGAAGTAAAAACAAATAAATAAAAGTAAATATAACGCTCTAGCAACGATATTGAAACGTTCTAGTAACGTAGCAGCTACGTTCCAAATAGTAGCAGGGTTTATAGCTAGTGACATATTTGCTACCTTTTTGGAACTCAATAATTGTTCCCCACTTTAGTCGTAGTCCCATATTCGTAACAAATACTTAAATTGTTGCTTGGGATTCGTATATTTTAATATATAAAAGTAAAAGTTTTTAAGTAATAGTACATACCTTTTAATAATAAACTAAGAAGACTTCTTGGCTACCAAATAAATAAAAGCTTTTACATTTTAAAATGTATACAATGTTTAATATTTAAACTAAAAATAACAAAACGTAGTCTCGAGAAGCCTATTAACAATTTCCTGCAGAAATTTACAATAAAACGGACTTCCAACGTTATACCAAACTTGGCAACACTGCTAAGAATACACATGCACAATTGTGGCGTCTCTGTGTATTTTGGCCAACATATACATATATATTTGTGGCATCCGACATACACGTAGTCGAATGTTCCTGATTTATGGCACGGTTGCCACAATTTTAGTTGGGTGCAGATCACTGTAATCGGTGTGTATAGCAAAAATAAAAGTACCAATATAATCCGCCAAATGGCGTCCTAAATATATGGTGTTTTTAACAGAAATGCCACAATTTGGGATATAGCACAGGTTGCCACAAGTATTACAATGCTTGTCTGGATGTGTATAATTTCGTTTATTTTTTTGTTGTTTGTGTTATTTTATATCGTTTAAGTTTTAATTGCTGTTTGATATATATCGTTTTTTTGTTTTTCGTATATTTAAAATGCCGAAGCATTTAAATAGTCGGAGTCATCCTTAATACGCTACTTTGAGGCAGAACGGAATAATAATGGACCTTTAACAGCTGTTAGAGAGGTAAATAGGATTATTATTAATTATGTATTAGAATATTTAACAAAATATATGTTGGATGCATAAAATAATAATATATATACCAGAGACTGACTTTAGATGGCAAAATTTCTGGGTTTTACTGCTGAAAATGTCTTTAAAAATGGCTAAAATAGTTATTTATGTATTAAGGGCATAATAAGGTTTTTATGGTCCGAGGCGCTATTTCGTTATAATTGTCATATTATAATGTCAACTGACATCAGTCAGTTTTAAAGTTTAAAGATGAATGAAATTGAGGAAGCAGCTGAAAAGGTGAAAAATTGCGGCCTGCTGCCGGAAAAATCAAAATCTTTATACGAAAAAACTTACTTCGAATATATCAAATGGTGTAACATTGTTGTTTTTAATTTTTGACGTTTCATTATAGCCCGCTGGGTCATAATAACGCCCGCAGGCTATAAAAAGACGTTTACGTCAAAGAATTTTTGTTATAATTGTCATATTATAATGTCATCGTGTATAAACATACTTTTGGCGATGCATCATATAGGTTATAAAACTGTGACTTTTGACATTTTGGTATTCTAAGGTCCCAAATCTAGGGACCCTATGATATTATTCATGTAAACGCCATCTACCACTTTCACTTGATGAATGATTTTAGCATCACATTGACAACCGTGCCCGATCAGCTGATTGATGACGTGTACGTCGTTTTCTTTTAAATTTACTATAGGTACCTAACAAATAAATGAATGAACGTCACACTAACATGTTAATATTAATATTTACTTTCCCAGTGGTTATAATATATTATTATTATATTATATACTATATAATACTATATAATAAATAATATATATATATATACTATATACTAAATAAAGCCCTTTGTTAATTGTTAAAAAAAAAACAATTAATATAACTAAATTAAAATAACTATTATTTTTATTTTAGGAGATACTGGTCTTCCAGCATGGGCAATAGTATTGATATCAGCCATCTGTGAAATTGTTTTAGGTCTAATACTATTTTTTGTGCTGAAAAAACTTATTCTCGATCAAGCCCTTCAAGGTCAATATCAAGTAACACAAACTAATGATGTATAATGTTTAGGATTACGCTGAATTTGTAATTAGTTTATAATACCATTTTACCACACAAACTCTGGAGGATGCATTTGGAAGAATATTTGTAAAACCTAAAAACAATTTATTAATATTAAAAGAAGCTCCACATTTTTATTTGTTTTTTATTGTTTTTTATGAAGGTATATATATATGTTTTACGTGAATTAAATGTGTATTACAAATGTTATCTGTGAACTCACAGTGAGTTCACTAATCGTAAATCACTATGCATTCCATTTTGAAGATTCATGGCGTGCGCCCAGTGTGAATTAAATGTGCATTACGAATGTAATTTGGGAACTCACAGTGGATTCACAATGCATTCATTTTTAAAGATTCAGGGCCTGCGCCCGGCATGAATTAAATGTGCATTAAGAATATTATCCGGGAACTCACAGTGAATTCACGATGAATTTATTTTTAAAGATTCACGGCGTGCGCCCTATGTGAATTAAATGTGCATTACAAATGTTATCTGCGAACTCATAGTGAATTCACGATGCATTCAATTTTGAAGATTCACGGCGTGCGCCCGGTGTGAGTTTAATGTCCATTCACGAATGTTATCTGGGTTAGCGATTTAAAAAATATATAAGCACGGCACTGGATTCACCACCCCTCAAAACAACCCTTTACTAAATTTTATTGAAAACTTTAAGACGAAAAATGCACAATAATAACTACAAAAATTTATTCTGTTAAGTTATCCACGAAAAAAACATTGAAATAAAATTAAACTAATAGTAACATGGTACTATTACTACCAGTTTTGGAGCAATATTTTTACAAAATACAAGGCCTACTATGTCAGTTTTTAAGAATAAATTTTAAAAAATTCATATTAGCGATTTTTTTAAACAAAATCTATGCACGGCACTGGATTCACCACCCCTCAAAACGACAGTTTATCAAGATCTACACTTTAAAACAAATCCGGTTAAAATCGCACAATAAATAAAGATTTTATAGGGGTAAGTCGCAAACAAATGGGTCAAACTGTATACTAGATTTTGTGTCTAATAAATACTCATTTATTTCAGTTTACAAATTTTCATAAAAAATAACTCAATGTTATAATAATCTAGGTAAAAAATACAAAAAATAACTCAATAATGGTTTAACAATTGTTTTTTATGTATAATTGACTAATAACTATAATGTATAATTTTTACAGTTTTAAAATATCTGCGTTTAATTTAAAACCTAAAAAAACAACTGTTTAAATTTAATTTAACGGCGACAACTAAATCAAAGATGGTGGCCGGAGATTTCTCAACAGTTCCGATTTTCGTTCGAATTCCAACGAGTTCCTTCTTGTTTGGATTGTGCCACAATCATTGTGTTCACGATTTTAATATTATCCATGACCCTGACGTCCACTTGATACTATCAAGTTCTTTATATAATGTATAAAGAACTTTTACCCTAGGTAAGTACTTAGGTTAAGTGTTTTGTTAAATAACTAAAAATTATGCTTAATAAAACGCTATAATCATGGTTGCCATGTATATTATATAATAATTAATAATTATATAAAGTTTCATCCCCAAATTGACATAGCGTTTTATTAAGCATAACTTTTAATATTAACAAAACACTTAACACAAATACAGTTTATCAAGATCTACACTTTAAAACAAATCCGGTTAAAATCGCACAATAAATAAAGATTTTATAGGGGTAAGTCGCAAACAAATGGGTCAAACTGTATACTAGATTTTGTGTCTAATAAATACTCATTTATTTCAGTTTACAAATTTTCATAAAAAATAACTCAATGTTATAATAATCTAGGTAAAAAATACAAAAAATAACTCAATAATGGTTTAACAATTGTTTTTTATGTATAATTGACTAATAACTATAATGTATAATTTTTACAGTTTTAAAATATCTGCGTTTAATTTAAAACCTAAAAAAACAACTGTTTAAATTTAATTTAACGGCGACAACTAAATCAAAGATGGTGGCCGGAGATTTCTCAACAGTTCCGATTTTCGTTCGAATTCCAACGAGTTCCTTCTTGTTTGGATTGTGCCACAATCATTGTGTTTACGATTTTAATATTATCCATGACCCTGACGTCCACTTTATACTATCAAGTTCTTTAATGTATAAAGAACTTTTACCCTAGGTAAGTACTTAGGTTAAGTGTTTTGTTAAATAACTAAAAATTATGCTTAATAAAACGCTATAATCAGGGTTGCCATGTATATTATATAATAATTAATAATTATATAAAGTTTCATCCCCAAATTGACATAGCGTTATATTAAGCATAACTTTTAATATTAACAAAACACTTAACACAAATACATATGTATTTGTGTTAAGTGTTTTGTTAATATTAAAAATTATGCTTAATAAAACGCTATAATCATGGTTGCCATGTATAATATACAAACTATAAATTTTTGAAACCAAAGAAAAAAACTCTATTTAAATATTTAAAAATATACAAGGTGTTCCATTGAAAAAATCAATGTTATATCTAGTTTATCAATTTTACCGATACTTTTTTGTTTTTTAATTTTAATTTTTTTAAATATCTCTTCAAATAAAGATTTTAGAGGGGTGTCCCATTTATACGAAAACACCCTGTATGACAATTAAAATATCAAATACCATTTACACACAAACATTTTTAATTAAAAAAAAATTAAATTCTATATATGCATACGTTTCAGAGATACAGGCATATTTTTTTTAGGATAGATATTTACTTTTAAATAATAATTAAATAGAGTAGATAATTAATTAATAGTATATAAATAAATAGAATAAAAATTACCTCTCAGAACAGCACTATGAATAGTAAATAACTAAATTTTGTTGGTTACCTACTTATAAGTAGGTAACCAAAAAAATTGTATACAATAAAATAATGATAAAAGCATTCACTTCAGTAATAAATCCAGACAGATGACTCCAGACCAGATATATATCTCTGCTCCAGACACAAATACAAAATACGTCTCGTACCCCTCCCACCGAAATCATATTTGTTGTCAAGCGACGTGTTGAGTGAAAAGAGGGGCAAGAAGGGAGATCAGAATTTCAAACGAAATGAGACAAAAACCCCTCATTCTCAAGTTTAGAACAATAATGGGTAGATGGCAACACTTTAGGCACACATTTTCTGCTAAAACGCTTGGCACAGATATTCCTATAGGAATATCTGTGCGTATACGCTTGCACATCTTCTCAAACCTTAATCAATAATACAACTTTATGTCGAAAAACAGGTTTTAAATCTAAAGCTCGCTGCACAAGAGCCCGGTACCCGGTAACATAAATCTGAATAGTTAAGGTGGGAAAGACTAAGAAACAACTGTTTATCGATAGTTTGCCGAGTCCCTCCCATCTTTTAGGTTCACGTTCCCCTTCTCTTTACCGGGTTGTTGTGCAGATGAAAGCACAATCTACTCCCTGCTGAAAATGACGGATGATTGCGGATATAAATTCTTCGTCAAAACCGGATAAAAGCAGATGATTGCGGGTATAAATTCATCGTCGAAGCCGGATAAAAGCGGGTAAAAATATCATCTGATAACATCTGCTTTTGTCCGCATCGCTATATCCGCGAATACCCGGTTAGTTGTGTTTTATGTCCGGTTAGTGCACCCCCGCAATCATCTGCAATCATCTGTTTTTAACCGTCTTCACTGTTTTTCGTTTATATCTGAATTTGTCCGGAATCATCTGCAAACGTCTGCTAACGTCTGGATTTATCCGCGATTACCTGCATTTTTTTGTCTATTATTGTCTGGTTTTATCTGCAAACGTCTGGTTTTATCCGCAAACGTCTGCCTAGTCCAATTTCACCCGCCAACATAAGCTTTTATCCGCCAACATCTGCTTTTATCCGCGACCATCTACTTTCATCCGCGAACATCTGCAATCACCCGCGAACAACTGCTTTTATCCGCGAACATCTGCAATCACCCGCGCACATCTGCTTTTACCCGCGAACGGTTTCATCCCGCGAACGGTTTCACCCGCAAACATGCTTTATCTGCGAACGCCTGACATCATCCGGTTAGTGCACCTCCGCATTCACCCGCAAATATCTGCTTTTATCCGCGAACATCTGCAATCATCCGCGAACATCTGCTTTCATCCGCGAACATCTGATTTTATCCGCCAACATCTGCTTTTATCCGCGAACATCTGATTTCATCCTCGAACATCTGCAGTCACCCGCGAACAACTGCTTTTATCCGCGAACATCTGCAATCACCCGCGAACATCTGCAATCACCCGCGACCCAGCAAACAGAAAGACGTCGAGTGACGTCTTCTGAACGTCGATTATTGGTCATTTAGGACGAAATACGTCGAGTACCAAAATAAGACGTATCAAAGACGACATCTTTATGACCGTTAATGTACCTGATATTTTATTACCAAAATAAGGCGAATCAGGGACGTCATTTTTATGACCGATAATGTACCGGAATTTCATAACCAAAATAAGACGCATCAAAGACGACATCTTTATGACCGTTAATGTACCAGATATTTTATTACCAAAATAAGGCGAATCAGGGACGTCATTTTTATGACCGATAATGTACCGGAATTTCATAACCAAAATAAGACGAATCAAAGACGTCATTGTTATGACCGTTAAAGTACCGCATATTTTATTACCAAATCAAGGACATCATAGTATTATAAAATAGCCTCAAAGGCTACCACAAATGGGCCTACCAGAAATTATACTGTATAGGACCTAGGTACTAACTATAAGTATTACATTGAAAATTTTCAATGTAATAGGTATATTTATTAGCGATTTCACCCAAAACAAAGAGGTTCTTTTCGCTTAACTGCATTAAAAATATTACAGTGTATACATATAAGCCTAGACTTTGTCTAGGAAGGTAAGTGAGTATTTAAATTATTATTATAGAGCATCGTTTTGGTGTAATATTTGTTTAAGACAATTATTTAAATTATTTGTAAATCCCGCACTAACTGATTTTATGGTAGCACCTATAGAAGAGCTTCGCGCCGAACACGTAGCGATGATTGGTGGCAATTGGAAGCGGCAGCGATCGATATGAGTCGATGTGGGTCGAAGTCGAAACTAGTAGCGTCATCCGCCATTATTTCTGTGTGTTTGCCGTTCGTTCGCTTGCCTTTGGCCAAATTGGCAATTATTGTGTATAATATACACAATAATTGCCAATTTGGCCAAAGGCAAGCGAACGAACGGCAAACACACAGAAATAATGGCGGATGACGCTACTAGTTTCGACTTCGACCCACATCGACTCATATATTATATATTATATATTGTTCCTCAAAAGTAAGTAATTTTAATCTTATTTAATGCTTTTGCAATAGAATCTAAAAAATTGGGTATTTTTCTTTCTTAAAAACCAAAACGCCAGTTGGTCTTTAGTATAAAAACTCTTTTTCTATGGTAAAAACCTTTTCTTTTAAAACCTAGCCGACATAATAAAGTGTTTTACAATTATATCGTCGTTGAAAATACATAAGGGCGTATCTTGTTTTTTGTTTTAAGCAAAAATGTGTTAATCTTTATTACTTTATATTGTAGATAATACATTTTTGCTTAGCATACGTCTTTAGGGCTAAAATAAATTAAAACTTAAAAAGTGCTCTCTAAAAAATGGATGAATTTTTTATCCACTTTAATTAAGAAGACAAAACGGCTTGTCAAGTTGTTCGTTTAATAATTCTTTTGCACTTGTAAAAAGCAAGACCATTATGAAAACAAAGTTTTAGTTTATTTTAAGTCAATGTGAAACAAAGTTTTATATAATCAAATTGCTTTTTACAGGTGAATACGTTTTTCATTGAATAAAAATGAGTACTACCTACCTTGGTATCCAATTTGAAGAACAAGATGGGCCAGGTTCAATTGCGTTAATCATTAATAATTGGTTAACGCCAAGAAAAAAAGAGGTGTTCTGGCCTCCTTACAAAACTCAATTTACATTTAATAGGGCTTTAGAGAAAAAAGAAAGTGCACAAAAAAATTGGACCTTATACAAAGTTTCTCGAATTTTCTTTGAATGTGGTATGTTATTTTGATAAACTTAATTTGTAAGTAATTAATAGTAAACAATAATTGTTATGTTCAAATTTAATCCCTTTTGGGAAACTTTACTTTATTACATTTTGTTTATCTTTGGAAATTCAATGTTTCTTTTTTTACTAATCATTTAATGGTAGGTAGGTACCTAATATGTACAGTTAATGAATTCAATTACCTATGTATTTTGATAATGTTGTATAGAAAAAAATTAAGCACTATTATAGTGCTTCATTTTTAAAGCCATTTATTTCTAGACAATTTAGTCAAAGCCCGAGAAAAGTTGAAACAGGCAGAGTTTTCAAGTGACTTGCAAAGTGATGCTGAAGAAACTCTCGAGCGCAGAAAAAGAAAAATTGTTTCTAAACGCCGCTTATATGAAAGTGATGAAGACGATCTCGAGTGCAGAAAAACAAAAATAGTTTCTAGTGACACTAGCACCAATAACAGTGATGAGGAGAATTCAACAAGAACAGGTGGTTTTATTCCCCGACCACCAAAATTAGACAAAAGACTTTTTTCAGGTTAGTTTTTATTATAGTATACTATTAACACACCCATAGTATACAGGGTGTTTCACATTTGTTGTCCTTTAGAAGTTTCTGGGAAACAGAAAAAGATTTCAATTTGAAATTTTTAAAGCGTTTATAATCATATTAGTAGTAGAAAATATCTTTATTGGAATAAACCAAAAGGCTAATGACAGGTCTTTCTGCCCATATAAATACATTTATAAATTAACAATCAATTTGATAAGAAAATATTTGACATAATTATATAATTATGTCAAATCTTTTTTCGTTTCCCACTTCTAATGGACTACAAATGTGAAACACCCTGTATACTGTATACTTCTATAGGTATTTTTTTTATTTAAAAAGCTATAAGGTCAATTAAATTAGAGAAAAGTTTCATAATTAAAACCAATTAAAATAAAATGTATAAATGGGGAAAAAAGTTTTTAAATATATTTGGAAAAAAATCGTTATAAAACTGATATTTCTGGGAATTTAAAAAAAGTAAGTTTTACATGTATGTAAATACACATTTTTTTTTGTTTTTATGGTTTTGAGAGGTTTTTAGTTTTTTAAAATTCATTTGAGAACTGCCTATTTTTTTCCAATTTTTAAATGCCATTTTAATGTGGTTAATTTAACCAACCTTTTAGCTCTTCATATAAAAAATATACCTGTATATAGAAGGATACTTGGTGCACCCTGTATATTAGGCTGGGCCAAAAAGGACCAATTTTTATTTTTTTTGGAAATCTCACTTGGTATAGTTAAAAAAAGTTGTGAGAAGGGTACACAAATAAGCTATTTTTTTTTATTTTTAAAGAGTTTTAGCCGCGCCTCCGGGGGATTAAAATTTCTTAAAATTCAATAAAAAAATGTTTTTCAAAGATACACTTTGAATTTGGCATATTAAAAAACTATTAGGTATGAAGTAAGTTAAAACGTAAAAAAATTATATTTATATATTTTAATTTTAAGCCGCGCCCCACCGCTCTTATTTTTTTTTTAATCAAAGAGCTGCATATTAGAACTTTAAAGCTTTGGGACGGGGCTAAATATTAAAATATATTAACAAAATGTTTTGTGTTTTACAAGTTAGTTATCTCCTAATGGTTTTTCAATATAACAAATCCAAAATGTAATTTAAAAATTTTTTTTTTTAATTTTTAAAACTTTCAACCCCCCGGGGGCTCGGCTAAAACATTTTTCTAAAAATTTGAAAAAAAAACAGCTTATTTGTGTACCTTTCTAACAACTTTTTTAAGCTATACCAAGTAAGATTTCTAAAAATATTTTTTTTGGCCCAGCCTACTGTATATACAATGAATTTATATACATACATTTATATATACATATATATACTAAGCAAAATTTAAAAATTAGATAAATCGCGAAAGACCCCATCAGCTTGTGGTGCCGAATCTTTAAATATCAACGCAGAATCTACAACAGTTGAGCCTTCTACCTCCAGTGAAGCGGCTTTCCCAGCTCAATCTACCCCTTCAATATTATCATACTCATCTAAGTCCTCCTTTGAGCTAGCATTGTTGGATCCAGAAAATCCAGTGATAAAATACTTGGCAACAATTAAAGCCCAGAGTGACCAAATTATAAATTTATTAAATAAACAACAATCAGCGTTACCTATAACAAAATTTTCATTACCTGGAGATCTTCCAACTACATTGCCAATAAAAACAGCTGAAGATTTTGCTCTTTTGGAAACTTATTTGGAAAACAAGGATCATTGCGTTGTTCTGGTAAATTAAAGCGTTTTGTTACTTATATAATGTGGTTCTATCATATTATTTTATTGCAGGTGGCCTATTTATCTTCCTTAGGAGGTGAAGCTGTTTCCTCTGTGACAAACAGCATATTAAGAGCCTGTGTATCTTTAAACTTGGCACAAACATTTAGTTGGTTAGGAACTCGACAACAAAAGGAGGCTTTTTCCAAAACTAATTTAAAAAACGTTGTAATTGGTAAGTTTTTGTTTTTAATCTTTTTTTATGTGCTTAACTATTTTATTGAAGATGCAGTAAAAAATTCCGTTACAACTACCACTGATAAGGTTGAAAACGCTATCAAGGTATGGCTTAAGCATGCTCCAGATAACTATAAGATAGAACAGAAGCGACTGGAAAAGCAGAACAATGGAGAAGGAGAAGTACTATAAGAAGAAATGTGTGGGGAAGCGTCAGCTGTATAGGAGGATCAAGGAATGCAGGCAAGAAATTACCAGTTCCATTGCAAATAGCTTTAAACGTAATGATGCATTGAATGTGGTTACTTTGCCTGTTCATGTCATTAGTGATAAGCCTAATGTTATTAATAATTTAAATGTTTCTTTTAACAATTTAAATTGCGGTCAAGTTGCAAATTTTGACAATTTAGGTATAAGTTCAGATATACGTTGCTTTAATTTAGAAAATATTAATGTAACTGAATCAATACCAAATAATAATTTATACTTAGCTAAAATGAATGTTAACAATAATAAAGATACTTTTCTGAATAAACTCAAACTTTGGGCGCTTACATGCCCCGCATTAACTCGGACCGATTTAACTAAATTGCTTCACATTCTTCATTATGAGTTTCCTGATTTGAACTTACCAAAAGATAGTAGAAGTCTACTTCAAACACCATTTAATTTTAAAAGCATAACATTGAATAATGGAACTTTGTTTTACTTGGGGTTGTCTAAATATTTAGCTAAATTTTTAGAAGCTCATCCTAATTTTAACGGTAAGGAAATAAAAGTATCTTTTAATATAGATGGAACTTCAATATTTAACAGCAGCAATTCTCAATTATGGCCAATTTTGGGTTGTATTAATTACAGCGGTTGTAAGCCCTTTGTCATTGCAGTATTTTATGGCAAATCAAAACCTGACCCTTTAACTTTATATTTACAAAATTTCGTTGAAGAATTATTTCCGCTTTTAACATTTGGTTATCAGTTTAAAAACAAAAACTTTAATATAAAAATAAATTTCGTATGTGATGCACCCGCCAGGGCATATATTAAATGCATTAAATCGCATGGCGGTTACAGTTGTTGTGAAAAGTGCTATGTAGTCGGAAACTACGTTGGAGGAAGGGTAGTTTATAAATCGTTAACGTCGCCTCTTAGAACTAATGATTCATTTAGATCTCAAATCGACGATGATCACCATATGGATGTCTCCCCTTTAACCCATCTTCCAATCGATCTTATTGAAGCATTTCCAATTGATTATATGCACAACATATGCCTGGGTGTAGTAAAAAAATTATTATCTACTTGGCTACATGGTTATCCCTTACAAGTTCGAATGCGAAATGCAACAGCACTTGCTGTATCAAATTTATTAACGTCTTTTAAAATACACTTCCCGGTAGAATTTAACAGAAAAGCTAGACCGTTATCTGACCTTTGTCGATGGAAAGCAACAGAGCTAAGATCATTTCTTTTATATTTAGGACCATTGGTTTTAAAAAGAAACAGCAATATCGCTGTTTACGAACATTTCCTTTTATTACATGTTGCTGTTACAATTTTAATGTCTGACAAACATATTTCTTCATTTGGAGCAACTGAAGCCGGTAAATTGTTAAATATATTTATAAAGCATAGTGAGGCAATTTATGGATTAGAATTTTTAGTATATAATGTCCATTTGTTATCTCATTTAGTACATGATGTTGAGATGTATGGAGTTTTAGATAACTTTTCTGCCTTTGCCTTTGAAAACTATTTAAATCAAATTAAAAACAAAGTGAAATCAACTGTGCATCCTCTGGCAGAGATTTATAACCGTTTAAAAGAGACAGATAATTTTGATACTCGCATATCAACCAATGGGACTTCTAACTTTGAAATGAAGTTTGAACATTACCTTGGCCCTATACCTGAGGGTATTTCTACCTTTTACAGACAATATAAGCAAATAAAGTTAAAAAGTTTAACTTTTTCCACATTCGATCACCGTGCCGCTGATTCATATTGTTTGATTTCTGGAAATTATGTATTAAGAATTATTAATTTACTGTGTTCCCCAGACAAGGTCATTATAATAGGCAAGAAGTTTCTTTCATATAGACCCCTATATCAATATCCAATAAGTTCAGCAGAATTAAATATATACATAGCATCAAATATTTCAATCGAAATTACAGTATCTAGTATTGAGAATGTGAATGCAAAATGTTTTTTACTTCCCTATAAAAATAATGAATGGGTTTCCTTCCCTCTTGTACACTCTTTGAGTTAAAAAAACCGTATCTTTATTATTGTTAAGCATTCTTAAAAGCTTACTTGTAGTTCTTAAGTGCCAAGCAAAGCAAAAATTAAAGTAGCTTTGTGTTTGTTTTGGATATTGTGCGACTAGTGGGAGAAATAGGAGATTCTCCGTGTAGCTAATAAAATATTGTGTGCGAAAATTAGTCAAAGGAGGATATTCCACTCACGTGTTACCGCACTCGCACGCTCTAGAATTCTCCTGTTTCTCCCACTAGTCACACAATAACTATTAAATATATTTTTTAATTTTTAGTTTTATATTCATATATATATTTTTATATAATAAACAGTTTCTATAAAAATATTTTTGCCTTTTTTTGATCCATAAAAGATGTCAAATATACGTCAATTTTAAACGTCGCAGGTACGTTTTGCACGACGTCTAAAATGCGGCACTATAATGACGTAATTATGATGTGACATATGCACGTCTCCCAATCGTCTTGAAGACGTCTTTCAAAGACGTCAACACGGCATCAAAATGACCAAAATCCGCCGTCTTTGGGACGTCTTTCTGTTTGCTGGGGAACATCTGCTTTCATCCGCAAACGTCTGGTTTTATCCGCAAACATCTGCTTTCATACGGTTTCACCCGCAAACATGCTTTTATCTGCGAACGCCTGATTTCATCCGGTTAGTGCACCCCCGCAAACATCTGCTTTTATCCGCAAACATCTGCAATCATCCGCGAACATCTCATTTTATCCGCGAACATCTGCAATCATCCGCGAACATTTGCTTTTATCCGCAAACATCTTATTTTATCCGCGAACATCTGCTTTTATCCGCAAAGATCTGCTTTCATCCACAAACATTTGCTTTTATCCCCAAACATCTCATTTTATCCGCGAACATCTGCTTTCATACGGTTTCACCCGCAAACATGCTTTTATCTGCAAACATCTGATTTTATCCGCAAACATCTGCTTTTATCGGCAAACATCTGCTTTTATCCGCAAACATCCGATTTTATACGCAAACATCTGCTTTTATCCGCAAACATCTGCTTTTATCTGCAAACATCTGCATTTATCCGCAAATATCTGCTTTTATCCGCGAACATCTGCATTTCCTTTGTCCATTTCGGTCCTGTTTCGTACGCAAACGTCTGGTTTCATTCGCGCTTTTTGTTTTCCTTTTTCTCGTATATACTTTAGTTTAGTTTACCTGCCACACAGTGGATCGATAGATAGGAATTTGTGGACATAGCACCAAAGTGTGAGAAGATGAGGACATTTTAGGTTTAAAATAAATACTTATCAATTAAATAACGTTGTTATTTACAAAAGTAAATATAAAGTCTAGTTACTTGATATACAAGGCGTTTTAATACACCAAGGTCCACTATAGAAAAGGTTTACCAAGTTTTTGGTTTTTTATTTTTATCTTTTTCAAAAAAAAAAAAAAATTTCCACGAAATTTGGTGAAAACTTACCTTTTTATGTCCCAAATACACTGTAATTTATTTGATTTGAAATATTTATTATTTCGCCTTATTTTGACTTAATATCAAAAAAGCACCCTAATTTTCAATCGAAAATTCTTGCGTCAAAATATCAGCTTTTTTCAAAAAGTCGGTGTGCTTTTTGTTTGTTGAAATCTCTACTTTCTGATGGTGTAAAAAAAATATACATTACTATGGTAAATGTTCTCAGAAAATGCAAAAAATATTATAATGAATAACGAAAAAAACTCGAATTCGAAAATTTATTTTAATCATTATGTACAATTTCATCAAAAAAATGTGATTGTTGCAATTTTTTTTAGTTAAAAAGTTTATTTATTAAATTCTAATAACATTTATGTCAGAAAATCTAATAAAATATAAAAATACATGTAAATCATACTATTGAATTTAAATTTAATTAGATACTTCATTCTGATTACGTTATTCATTATAATATTTTTTGTATTTTCTGAGAACATTCACCATAGTAATGTATATTTTTTTACACCATCAGAAAGTAGAGAGTTCATCGAACAAAAAGCACACCGACTTTTTGAGAAAAGCTGATATTTTGACGCGAGAATTTTCGATTGAAAATTAGGGTGCTTTTTTGATATTAAGTCAAAATAAGGCGGAATAATAAATATTTCAAATCAAATAAATTACAGTGTATTTGGGACATAAAAAGGTAAGTTTTCACCAAATTTCGTGGAAAAAATTTTTTTTTTGAAAAAGATAAAAATAAAAAACCAAAAACTTGGTTTTTTGAATTTTTCACATAAATTTTGAGGTTATGTGAAAAAAGTTGTAGATCTTTTTATTACCTACAACTTTGACATTTAACTTTTTTCTATAGGACTTGTAGTTTTGCCGGAAATCGAGATAAACCATTTTTTAACCTTAACCCCCCCCCACTTCCCGAACTCAGATCGCCCGTAATTTATTTTTCCTTTAATTTTTATTATATTTCCCTACTTTTCCAATGGGTTTCATCCTACTGTTATTTTTTTCTCTTTTTACCATTTTTAAAGGCTTCTGCACTGTTCTATATGCTCCATGACACTCTATGATCTATATTTTCCAAAGTGGCGCCTTGTGGCGGCAAATCTCTGTACATTTGTTTTAAATAACCTTTGAACTCCATAACAGCCATAAAAGAAGTTTATGCATATTTAAGCATTTTTTTAAAACTCAAGATAAAGTTTAGATTTGTGTAACGCATTGTATAACAATAAAATTTTAAAAATTATTGTTACTGAATACGTGTTGGTATTAAGTTAACCGGGCAATTTGCAAGCTTAGTTATCATATAAAATAAAACTATAAAAAAATATATAAGTTTTTGTAAAGGTATGAAGTTATGCTGTTTAATTTGTAATAGTCAGTTTAATAAGGAAAATAACAAAAAAAACATTCTTTACGAAAAACGCCTTCTGTACTGTTTAGTATGTTGACAAAAAAAATTGTTATGCTTATTTTTAACAAATTTGAAGTTTTTGGGAGACATTTAAAAAAAATGATATCAAGTTAGTAATTTTGCTTAATTGCTGTATATATGAGCTCGATCCACTGTGTGCCATGTCAAATTTTACTGAGCTTTAACTAACTGGTTGTTAGCCGTTCACGGCACACAACTTTATAACTCTAATAGGAATTATTTGAATAAAAACAACCTGTAAAGGAAATAAGTTTATTGAACTTCAATATTATTTGGTAAAATACAAATAAGGTCTTTGTTAAAAGACATAAATAGACATTTTTTAATCCTTAAGCTTACATTTAAATTAATTGTTAGAAAACATATACATTTGGAATTATAACATCTTCAATTTGTATGGAATTTGTTTGAAAAACACTTATTTCGGCGTAAAATAAAATTTCATGTCCCAAGACTAAATTCTAGATATTGCCAAACTTTTCATGTGGAAGCTGCGAATAATAATGAAAGAAGGAATTCCCCTCTAAT